AATGAAAAATCAATCACTTTGTCACCTCAATTTGGAACTTTGAATAGTGTGCAAATGTAACCTGAAAAAAATGCTATTTTTACCTCGTTCATAGAGTCGCCGGTTAACAGAGTCAGGCCATCTTCTCAGTCGGGATGAAACGTTACCTTCATGTATTTATTGAGATCGCCTTCTACAACATCGTTGTTGATTTCGTGATCGCTTTCACAGGAATCACTGTCGATGTCAGCTCTGACTTTCTTGGACTCTGATGTCCTGTCGATTGTTACTTACTTCGAATTCCAAATACCGAACAGCTTTTTGTGCTGCTTTATTTTGTAAGATTACAGAAGCAGCAACGAGACCTCTTCGGAGTCATTTCGTAACGTCGAACACGATAACCTGTGAGGTCACTATGTGACCGCTGACCTATGATGGCTGCGATGACCTAAGGTCACCACGTGAAAGTACACGTGATTTACGAAGAAGTGGCGGTTTTTTTCGTACCTCGAACGGAATGGTTCCATTCCAATTGCATTTCTCGTAGCGTTTGTGTAGCAGTCTCTTTTTTTCCAGATCAACGCAATGGACCGTCTGAAAAGTTTTTTCAAAGAGGTTTCCTCAAGATGAAGTTATCGACATGTATTACAACGTGAAGGGGTAAGTTCAAGCTTGGTCATCGTATTACGCGTAAACATCGGAGCGCGCGCGCTAACTATTGATTTAACTTGAAACTTTTTATTCTGTGATCATCTGGCGAAAAATCACAAGAGTTTGTATGGAAATACCTACGACCGTTCTTAGGAATAAAAAATACAGTCAAATTCTGAATACGAAATACCTCACCTCACTTCCATAGTGCGTCACTTAGTATCTGACGGCTTCATGTTGAAGAGAACCTGTTTTGGCGAGTTATCCATTTCTAGGTTTACTACGTACATAAGAAAGGCTCTTAGATAACTGATGATGTGCTCCCTTTATTTTGCAAACAATGAAGAGTGTTGGTCTACAAAACTGATGAAAGGAAATGCACACTTGCTAAAGCAGCCTATCTTGGTCCAAACGATGATGAAGATGCAAATAGTAATGATAACCGAAAGAAGGATGGAACATTCAGGTGGCCAAAACAGAGAGACACTGACATAGTCAGCCATAGATATATCTTCACACATGCAAGAGTGCAGAAAGTTGGTAATTGTTTTGTTGTTAGTTTCCTTGAAAGTATTGATCACAAGTGTAAAACATATCAAGAAATTTACATGAATGCTGTTACATAAATAGACATTATAATAACTGTCCATAACATTTTACACATGATATTAGACGAAGGAAATGATATTTGAAGTTTAGACAAAAATACATCAAGCCAGTGAGTATATTTTCAATAATTTCGTCCAAATATTTTTCACATCAAATTTATTATATACCTTCAGAAATATAGGAGCAGAATCTGTCTCCACAAGGAAAATCAGTGATATCAAAATAGAGCTAAAAATCATTAACATCTTAATTTTATGCAGAAAATTTCATACCAACTTTTTTTATTTAAGAAAGTGTAAACTGAATTATCACAATTTTGGAATCCTAAAGTAATATTTATGTACAGCTGGTGAAACAAAATAAACTATCAGAGAATCCAAACTTCTGGTCATGTCTTTCATGTGTGTGTGCTTGTACAACAGGACCAAGAAGTTTCACAGATAGGTTAGTTCTTCAGTGTATAATTTAAGTGATAGTGTATGTATTACAGTTATGGTATAATGCAAGCTATACACTGTAGTACAGTCTTTGGTACAAGAAAAGTGAAGAATTTTTAATTCCAAATTCATAGGGTTTTCAAAGAATTTTCATGGTGCTTGCATATTCCTAACAACCCCATGAAAACTAACTGGCAATTAACTTTCATGTGCCATGAAAAAACCATGTAGAGGCCATGAAAATTCAAGGAAAATTTTCATGGTCAATGAATTTTTAACATATTCACAGGATATTCATGGGTCATGATTTGCTGCAACCCATTAAAAACTAGTGAACTTTGACACCATGAAATTTTGGGCTTGAAATTCATGGGTTTCTCAGTACCTTTGAAAAGGCCATGAAATGCGATTTTCATGGGTATTTCATGGCTTCTAGGTCACTTTACTCAATATTTCATGGGTCGTGAATATGGAAATTTTCACAGGTTTTTCATGGGATTTTTCAGGTCTTTTTCATGGCACTGAGACCATGAAAATGTCATTGATTTAACCATGAAAATCCTGTGAAAAATCTGTGAATTTACAATGAATTATTTCACAAGATTTTCATGGGTTTTGAGTTCATAGTGCCCTCAGCATGCCAGCATCATGCTTCCTGCCCTCTAAAAATGTGATCAGCAAAATTGTTATGATCATTACTTTCAGGAGGTTCCAACATGCTATCTGAATAAAACCAAATTAATTTAGTGAATTTAGATTACATTGATTTATAAAATTTCCTTGGCTTCATTACCTTCATTTATACTTTTTCTTTTTTCCTTTTTTTTTAATCGACTGTAAAATTTTGCGCATGTAAAATTGAATTGTTGAAAACAGTAACCAAATTTAAGTTTCCTTTCAAAAAACGTACCTACTGGTCCAAACAGATTGGCTATTAGTCCAGAGGGTACTGTAAGTGACTGAAATTTTAACGCGTGCACTCGTTTGTGCCCATTGTAGACCACTTCCTGAAGCTCAACAGGTCGGCATATTGGCCTGACAGTCCCATCAATGAACCCAAAACAGTTGTTTAAGGGAGCTCCTTGTGCAGACACAGCATCAGCATACGTTTGAAGGAGAGGAGAACTCATGATCTGATGGTTCCACTGTGTTAATCGATGACCATGGTTATCATAAAGGTAGTCAACGACACAGTTAGTGATCATACTAAGTTCGGGAACGGGTCTACCAAATCTCGGTATGAGGTCACTGTAGTGACAAGGGTATGCTGTTCTCCTAAGTAGCATACAAAGGCCCTCCAGCTTGTTTGCCACGGTTCTTTAAGAACATCGGAATTTTTTGGGCAACCCAAGAACCTCCGCCAACACTGGGATATCGTTCTTGTTAAAACGAAATTCCCCCCTTGCACTCCGGCTCCTGAATTTCATCTAAGTTGAATCTCTGATAGTTTTCGTAGTTAAACTCGGGGTTTCTCGATGTGTTGTCGTCCAGCAACAAAAGCAACTCTTCGTCATTTATAACTTTCATATCATGGTTTAACAAAAGCATTTCCCGAGCTTCTTTAAACAAAGACATTTCCAACAGCTTTTTCCAGTTTTTCGTTTCAGTGCACTGAGCAATTCAACACTGTACGCGTCCGTCGTGAAAAAGGAATACACGCTTAAGTTAAAAATTTTCGCGCCACAAACGCCGTTCTCGATCCATTCCTCTCACGGAATGGAGACCTCCGTCGTGAAAAAAAGAAAAAATGCTTAAGCTCTCTATTGTCTGAGGTCAAGCAGGCATATTCCATTGCTGATCCCATCAACATTCACATTCAATTGTAAATACTGATGTTGCAGAAGTGCTCGGGTTCCCAAGTACATGTGATCACTTTATGCAGTTTGCTGACTCGTAGGAATTCGATCAAAGTTCAACTTGCTAGTAAGTTGTCTTTAATTTATGAATTCTACATACCTACTTCCCATTGAATTCTTTGGAATGATCTTTAGTGATCAAAGAATATTGCCAGACCCTGCCAAGATAGAAGCCATCCAGATCCCCAACCTGTGCAAGTGATGTTTGTAATCTGCTTTGTATGACCAATAATGTGTCCTGTTTCATTTGTGATTATACAGACATTGTTCCCCCTTTGCACGAGATCACTCACAAAGGAGAGGAATTCAAGAAGGAAAAGGCTATTAAACAAGCCTTGGGCAACCTCAAGTGAAGTCTCACCTCTGATGATGTCATTGATTAGTTTGACCCAGGCACAAAAATCATCTTGCTCGTACACGTATATGCCAGTCCAGTTGCATTGGCTCCTTTGCTGACCTACAAGGGAAAAGTAATCTCCTATGCCAGTAAGTCCCTTTTAAGTGTGGAAAGGCACTATTCCCACATTGTGTGTGAAGCTTTGGCCCCTACATGGGGTTGTCATCATTTTTACATGTTCCTGCTTGGATATAGCCTGAAGTCAGAATGAGGAGTTTAAACTAGTATTGTCAAGATTGTTGCTAATGTCCGCAGTTAATTCACCTCAGAGGATGGCAAAATCTTGCTCTGTGGAAATAGCATCGTGATTCCTAATGTCCTCCAGAAGCATGCGGTCAATTTAACTCATGAAAGCTATTAAGGCTAGGTTAAGACCTGTAGTCAGTTGCATTAAAAGGTCTGGTCATGTTGTGGATACAACTGCAAAGAAACGTTGACCAAGTTCCTACACCCAAGCCCTTAACCAGTGAACCTTGGCAGCAACTAAGCATTAACTTCTGTGAGGTGGCTGGACACTATGTTCTTGTGATGAATGATTATTATTCCAGATTTCCAGAGGTTGACAAGGTACATTCAACTAGTGCAAAAAACAGCGATTCCCAAGCTGAGTTGTGTCACACAGTATAATGGCCAATCACCCCTCACACAAAATTGTTATAGAACTTGTATTTTTCCTTTATTCTCAAGCTGATGGCTTCTTAAGGAAAAGTTACGTCAAGACCTCAATTGATTCTGGTCAATTGTTCTGTTTTCAAAATAGTTGTACAACTTAGTTATTCTTGACTCTTGGACATCTTTAGACTGAATCAACCTAATGTTGTCCACAGCCAAGTTAACTCTTTGGTCATGCTGATTTGCCTACAGGAAACTGTAAGTTGGTATACTAAGCTTTAATGGTACTGAGGTGAAATCACAAAATGACTGTAAAGTGAAACTTGAAAGTGGTTTTCTCAAATATACTTCTGCATGTCTAAAGTTTAATGGATGCTGCCAAGGCTCCTTCAAGAGAATGCTATGTGGTTGCACCACAGTTAACTATTAAAGCAATTATTGTGCAGCATTTAATATTGAACTTATTGCTCTGGAGGGCAATGTTTCTTCAAACCCTGGTCTTCTGAAGGGTATTGTTAATGCAAATGAAAATTCTACAATCTCAAACAATTTGCATCCCACCTTCTCAATGAAATCAAAGGGTCTTAGAGTTTGTCACCCAAATGTCAGATCTCTTCCTTGCCGTCCTGAAGAGGTACAATTACTCACATGCCTAAACAACCTTGATTTCTTTGCCATGAATGAAAACTAGCTTAATTCTAACTGGAAGGATGGTGAGATTGCTCTGCAGAATTATCAAATTCACAGCTGTGACCAACATGACTCAGTAATTGTGATGGCCATTTAAGTTTAAGTCATATGTAAGACCTGTGTCAAAGTTTAACCCTTACACTACCATGTGTAGAAGCCATAAGTAAGTACATGTAAGTGCATAGTAAACTGGGTTGGAGTCCTAGAAATTTACTCAGCTGCTACAACTAAGGGCAAAAGTCACATTTCTTTGTTTCACCATGAAGGCTAGATTTAAACTCATAGCACTGTATACAGACTGACAGTCTGTACACAAAGGCAACAGCAATAGGGGATTTTTTTGTTAGCAAAGGGTTTGTGTTAATGTTGTACAAAAGGCTAAACAAGTTTTAATACATACACTGAGTCAGTGTGGTGAAATCCTTACCCAAAAGCAGTAATAAAGCAAGAAGCCCACAGGAGGTGATTTGTATGAGGACTTTTTACTACATTATTTTGTTAGAAAGGTGCAACTTGTTTTTATGTGACAAGAAGGACTGGAGTTCACAGGTGAAAAGATAAACAGGTCAAGAGATGAAGCATTTTATGTCACAAAGTGCTTGTATGTGATATCTCAACAATGATATAATATCAGGCAACAGTTCTTAGCTTTATTGACACATTTAATGCCATATTACATTATGCACAGTGTTTCTTTTCTTTTCCTTGCAGGTCTAAACATTTTCAGTCAAGGCCCATGGAAAGAAATTCAAGCCAATTGAAATCCAGCAAACAGCCCTCTCTTCAAAAGCTTGTGGAACAGTCATCAATTACACAAGCTTTTTAAATCATTGGGTTAAGTTCACAAGTGATCATAAGTTAGTTGTATTCCCAGGTTTCATAGTCGATGTTGCATTGTCTTTTAGCCATTTAACCACTTCTAAAGTATCAGCCTCTGTGATTGACACAAGTTACTGTTCTTTAAAATGGGCCCATGATTTCCAGGCCTCTCCAAAGACTCAATCAAGAAGCCTGAAGGGCTTAGTTGGTTGTTTTTAAAGTGGTTTTCATCACTGATTATGAACAGTGGTTACAAGAATTTTGTTATTAATGAATATTCTTCAATGCACTCAGCACAGAATCTTACATCAACTTAAGAACCGTGCTCGGCTAATATTCAGATTTCAATGACATCTTGCTTCACAATAGTGACATCTGTTTGAGATAACAATTGTCTCATGTTCTTCCTTAGTTAATAAGTCCCAAGACCCTCCTGTTGTTGTTAGTTACTTGACATTTTCAGATATTGTACTAACTTCTCTTAACTAGAGGAAGGGAGGAATGTAATGTCTATGGTGAGACATATTGTCACGCTATATAAAACTCAGCATCTATAGAAATGTAAATAGCAAAGCATCCCACTGCAGTTACCCAGCTTCAGAGATCAATGATTAATAGCCTGTCCATTTCTTTATGGAACTGCAATGACTCAAGTTTATTTTCTAAGAAGACAAAGAAAATGCTTCAGGATAGAGCCAGGTACAGACAGTAATTATTATTTCCTTAATATATTATTGTACCTATTATCCTCTTTTTTAAGGGCAATTCTTGTCATTTAACATAGTAAATCTTTAGTTCTTTAACTTTTGTAAACCATATCTTACTTATTAAATATATTTTCCTAAATTTGCTGTAGTTGTAATCAATTAATATTGGTTAGATATTAAGGGATCATTATTATCATCATTATTATGAAGAGCAAGATTGGGAACTGCTATGCCTTTTTGAACTGCACCAGCATGCATCTCCTTTTTTTTCCAAAACAACTTAGAAAAATCATAATCTACTTCTGACCCCATTCTCTATTGTAAAGTTTGATCACCAGAGCAGAACAGGACAAAAGTATCCCATTTTCTGAATGGTAATTTGCCAGTAATATCAGCAGTTCGGCAGGAAAAACAAGAAATGTAAAGACTTCAAGAAGGCTACATGAAGTCCTATCAATCAAGTCTTTAAGATGTTGGCACCAACAATGAAGAGTGTCATGATGCTGCTAGCAACGGTGGCCACTTGCCTTCAGGCTCTTGCTTTTTTATCCTTAGTGACACTCCCGAGAGGATTCTCTTGTCTGATAGCAGCTGTCTGATATCATCCCGCTGAAGCAGATGTCAACAACTGTGAGCATTTTTTAACTCTCTAGCAATGGCAGAATCTATTTACATAAACTGTCCACTTATTATAGCTGGCAATTTTAACCACCTTGAAGTCACGCAGCTTAGAAGGCATTTCATCAAAGGAAATCATGAAAACACGAACCCAGAAGGACACTATTTTGGACCTAGTGTTAACTAACTTGCACAATCACAACAACAAACTGCTGACCTTTCCACCCTTTGCTCTATCTGATCACAATACCATATCTGTCTGGCCTCAGATGAGAAGTGGGTACTGCCCCTGCTAAGTTCAATTTTAAACGTGATCTACAACCCAGCCAAAAAGCAGAAACGGGAAGATATCTATGCTCATTTGATTGGCCTCTGTCACTCAGCTCCTTTAAAACCTGCAGTGAGTTACTCTGTGTTTTTGAACAAGTTATATACACAGGCCTTGACCTTCTGATGCTGATTCTCATGAACACACATGTTCCTTGGATGATGAAGCACTTGAAAGATCTAATTTAGAAAAGGCAACAGGCTTTCCACAATAATGGCGCAGACTCCATACCATACAAATTCTATAGAAATCAGGTTAA